TGAGTCCAGGCTTTTGAGAGAGGTTCAAAATAATGAAAAGGGGGAATTATGGCTTTGTTTAGAGCAAGAGAAAGTACAAGGAAGAGGTAAGTATACCACATGGAGAAGACCACAAAATGATAATAGGAGACAGAGAGATAACAGAACTGCTCAACATCTACTTTTCTGTTCCTCCCCAAAAAACAGTGCCCAGCCTGGTGATGACAGAAGGACCAATGGCATGAAAAGGTTGCAGCCCAAAATAGATAAAGAGGTGACATAGGAACACTCAGCTACTTTAAATGAATTCAGATCTCTGGGTCAAATGAAAAAGCATGACAAGGTAATAAAGGATCTTGAAAATGTAAGCCATGGGTACATCTACACTGTAAAAATAATGCAGTGTGATACCACTTTAAGTGATGTAGCTCTATCCTATGGAATCCTGGGATTTATAGTTTTAGAAGATCTTTAGCCTTCTCTGCTAAAGAATGCTGGTGCCACACATAATTGCAAATCCCAGAATTCTGTAGGATGGAACAACACCAGTTAAAGTTGTGTCAAACTGCATTATTTCTACATGTACATGCACCCCCATGTTATTTAGTTCCAACTAGAGTAGATCCATTCAAGCAGTTGCTGAATTGTGGCTTGACATTTCGATAAATCCAATTGATTCAGTGGTCTAACCCAAAATCTCAGATCCTCTATTTCTGAGAATTTTTGGAGGCGAAGTCTCTGCAAACTGGAAGAAGGTAAATGTTGCACCCTTCTTCCAAAAGGAGTAAAAGGAGGACCCAGGCAACTGCTGCTTGACATCAGTACCAGGAAATGTTCTAGAAAATACATTAAATGGTCAATAAGTGAGTGCTGAGAAAAGAATGTTGTGATTACAAAGAGTCAGAATGGTTTCTCAAAAACAAGTCATGCAAGACTAATTTTACCTCTTACTTTGACACAATTACAAGTCTGGTGGATTAGGAGAAGGCTGTGGATGTAATGTATCTTGATTTCAGTAAGGCTTTTGACAAAGTTCCCCATGATATTATTGTAGACAAGCCCTTGCAGCTCCTTCCAAATCAATGAGTCTACAAATCTACTCATATGCACTGGGGGAAGACAGTTTTCCTTTTGTTGTCCCTGGCAATTGGCCAAGCAAGTTTTCTCTTTGAGTCAGTTGGTAATCTAGACCGCCAGGGCATAAATTGCTTTACGTTCCTCAAGAAGACCTGCAGGTCTTCTCCTCCTTCTACAGTCAGAGTATATGCTTCCAGAGTGGGCAGGCATTTTTCAAATGTCATGCTGGGAAGATTCAAAGCACTTGACACCTGCAAGCCAAATGAACTATGCAAAACACCATTTTGATTTCTTATCCAGACTTGTTTCTGGCCCATTTGCTTTCCTCTCATATACATCCTGGGCATTCCAAGAGATGTGCATTGAACATGAAAGCAGTTTTGAATTTTCCAGCCATCTGTTTTAGGCTAGAAAAAGTACTTTTCCTTTAAGTGTCCAATTTAGTATTTCGGTAGATAATTTGCCATTTTCGATGCACCGTGAACATGGAGGCATTCCTCACTGTTCAGATGCTAAGGTTAATTCATTTATCTTGGCACAGTTGGTAACCAAAAATGGATTCAAAGAGTTCCCTTAGAATATTTAAGCCATTTGCTTTTCTTTCGGGACAACCAGCATGTTGGATAGCACTGAAGGGCTTAAAGATAAGGTGGAATGAAAGAGGAGGTATGAATAAAATAAGAAAGATAAATGTGCTTTAGATGTTATTCTCCCAAATCCACTTTTCAGCTTGATGCAACACAAATACAAAGCAGCAGCAACCTACAAAGATACTGCAATGAGAGATGCTACTGTCTGAATTTATTTATTGTTGCAAAGCTAGCGGGTAACAGAGCTTCATGAAAAGACTGCCAAGGTATCTTGTGCATTGTGCTGGATAGGAACTTTGAAAAGTCTTCAAAATGGTTAAGACTGGAGACACATTTTTACCCCTAGTTATTTAATTTACAACATATGGTTCTATGTTTCTGGGTATTTTTGTTTTTTTTAAGAGAAAGAAAAATTGTAGCCATCATCCATTGAGTTCTAAAGCTCTTACTCTTTGTGTCTCTGTGTGAATGTGCCTTCAAGTCACCTACTGTGTTATGGCACCCATGAATTTCTTATGGTTGTTTTAGCGAAGGAATATTCAGAGGTGGTTTCCCATTGCCTTCCTCTAAAATCTACAGCAACTGGTAGTCTACAGCAACTGGTATTCCTTGACAGTCTCCCATCAAAGTGCAAACCGGGGCTGACCCTGCTTAGCATACAAGATCAGATAGGATCTGGTGCCTTCAAGAGATATCTCAAAAGTAATTACCTTGTTGATCATGGGACCTTACTGCGAAATAGATGGTTCGGACTGAGGAACACTCTGAGGACACTGAAAGTGTTTCATGGGGATTTGCATGAAATACTTTCAGTGTCCTCAGAGTGTTCCTCAGTCCCAACCATTTATTTCGCAGTAAGGTCCCATGATCAACAAGGTAATTACTTTTGAGATATCTCTTGAAGGCATCAGATCCTATAGTCAATCAGACATAGTCATTCAGATTATTTATTTATTTATTTATTTATTATTCCTCCTTTCTTTTAGCATTGACTCCAAGGTGCCACAGAACACGGTGAAAACAAGACAAAGCTAAAAACCTGATGATTAGAATATTAAAGCACAATTAAAATAAAATATCCTATTAAAACACCAATAACTTTTAAAAGTATAAAGCCATCTAGAAACATATAGCAAGCAAGCAAGAAAAACATACCAATCACAGTCCATAAAAATGATGACTTGCAAC